GATTCAAACAAATGTTTTGAAGCTTTTGATTGACCAATCGGAAGAAAGAATTTTATTAATTGATCAATCAAAAATACGAAGTATTTGTAGCATCAAGTGGACCGTAGCCTTAGTGAGCTCTTTCATCTGATTGGTATATTTTGTTAGATCCTAAAAACAGACCAATCAGATGAAAGAGCTCACTGAGCGTTCAGTGAGCGGATGTCGTTCTGAATGCACCCAGGTAACTTTGTTTAGGGAAACCTAGAGGCATTGTGCGGACAACGGTTGTTTGCGCAAACGAGCGGAAATGCTGTAGCAAATTTATTGCCATAAATATTGCTACAATCTATTAAAAATCGTTTTCATAAAATATTTAGTCCACATTTCTGTTAATTGAATATAAATGGAGCGTCGTCGAACAGTATGCAGCATCGCCACCAGAGGAATGCATCGAACTAAATTTCTCGATTTTAAAAAACGACATAGAATATAATAAGAGACGCAGCATTAAGATTTTTCAGCTGTGTTCTAACGAAATAATTCTTTGAAGTGAGCTCCAAGGACTCTAAGATGAAAACATAATACTTTCTTTGAAATGTTTACCGAGTAAATGAAATCTCATATTATTATTGTTTATTGTTAATAAATGAAATCTCTTAATACTTTATAATGTTATCATGCTTGTTAACGCTGAGGACTTTGATCACATTTTATCCATTGTTCGGACAGTTTGACGAAGCTCTTTCAGTTAAAATGCCACCAGATTATTATTGGCAACTTATGAGAATAAGATTTTAAGCGGAAACTGTTCTGTCATGTTACCTTGTGATTTCTAACAATACGTTATATGATTTATAAGAGAGCAATTGTCGCTATCGAGTTACTTGCAAGAGTTAGTGGCAATAAAAGTCGGCAATCTAATAGGCACAATCGGAAGCCACTTTCTTAAATATTGGAGGCAACTTAAGCAAAGCAGCTGCAAGCAAATTAACAGCAACCTGCAGGCAATTTGCTATCTGGGTATATACAGAGATAATATATTCTTCTTTTTTATATTCTAGAATTCTTAATAATGTGTTATCAAGAAATAATGCAAGAAAAATATTAAGTCCATATTCGCAGCAATAAGATTTTTACTTTGTGTACGAGTATGTTTGCTAAAGCATAAACAAAGAAAAAGTAGTTTATATTAATGTCTGTCTGTGAATTAGGATGCGGTCACATGGAGTGAGAAATAGCGAAACGGGACAAAAACGGAAAAGACAAATGATAGGCGCCAATCAGAACAATTCCGTTACATTATTTTGTAGTTCAGTTTCACACGATGAGAAATATGTTTATAGAACGAAGCAGAATAACCTCGGTAGCATGTTACATAAATCCATCTGCATGATAAAATATTCATTACAGTATATCTATAAAATATTAGATATTTTAATAGTTTATACATATATTTTTTATCAGAAACAATTAAAGTATAGTTATTGCGGTTGATGATTTAAAAAATATTAAATTACACACATACACACACACAAAACATTCTTGTTTTGCAAATACATAATTGCTAATTTAATATTAATATAATAGATGACGAAAAAAATGTTTTTATGGCAGGTTTTATAGCAGGTAAAATAAATATTTATAATATAGTAGCAAATTATATAGATATCTCGATTTACGAGGTTGACTGCCACGTTTTTCTGCCAAATTCTTTCGTTTTGAATAAAAATGCGTCAAATGAGCCTAAATTCATTAAAATCGGAGATGAAGATATTTTAAATAATTACCTCTATATAGATCGTACATTTCAAACATACATTGACTTCTCTCCGTAAAACTTTCTGTAATCTTCTTTTTCCTTTCAAAGGTAGATGAAAAACATAAAGAGCAGATATATTTTTAATCGTTGCTGTCAAATCTTCGTCCAGTATTTATTTCATCTGTTATAAAAAAACTTATTGTTATCTGTAAATATTAAATTATTAAGTTAGCATCTCTCTCTACATCTGTATAACAAGAATGTTTAATAACTTGATACTCCTTTAAGCACCAATCACAGTAATTACACTTTAATTGTTTCTAATGCAATATACAATATATATATAAAGATTATGCGTTTCGTGGGTTTCCTCCGTGTCCAGATTCATTCTTGAAATGCCAAC